CCGAATGGCATTTTTTTTCTGATTTCTTCTTCTTCTATTTCGTTGCTGGTGTACAAAATGCCTTTGATTTTTGAATATTGACTTTTTATCCTGCTGTTTTGCCAAATTCACTTATTAGGTTGAGTGGCTTTTTGGTGGAGTCTACGGTGTTTTCTATGTACATTATCATGTCATCTGCAAACAATGGCAGCTTTACTTCCTCCTTTCCAATTTGGATGCCTTTTATTTCTTTTTCTTGACTGACTGCTGTGGCTAGGACTTTCAATACTATGTTGAATAGGAGTGGTAAAAGTGGACATCCTTGTCTTGTTCCTGATCTTAGTGGGAAAGCTTTTAGTTTTTGCTTGTTGGCTGTAAATTTTTTCATATATGGCCTTTATTATGTTGAGGTATGTCCCCTTTATTCCAATGTTGCTGAGTTTGTTTATCATAAATGGATGTTGTACCTTATTGAATGCTTTATCTGCATCTATTTATATGATCATGTGGTTTTTGTCTTTCCTTTTTTTTATGTCATGTATTATGTTTATTGATTTACAAATATTGAACCATCCTTTCATCCCTTGGATGAATCCCACTTGATCATGGTGGATGATCTTTTTAATGTATTGCTGGATGTGGTTTGCCAATATTTTGTTGAGGATTTTAGCCTCTATGTTCATCAGCAATATTGGCCTGTAGTTTTCTTTCTCTGCTGTGTCTTTACCTGGTTTTGGGATTAGGATGATGCTGGGCTCATAAAAAGAGTTTGGGAGTCTTCCTCTTCTTGGATTCTTTTGGAATAGTCTGAGAAGGACAGGGGTAAGCTTTGCCTTAAATGTTTTGTGTAATTGCCCTATGAAACTGTCTGGTCCAGAGCTTTGTGTGCTGGGAGATATTTTTACTACTACTTCAGTTTCACCAGCAGTTATTATCTGTTCAGCCTTTCTGCTTCTTCTTCACTCAGGGATGGAAAGTTATACTTTTCTAGAAATTTGTCCATTTCTCAAGGTTTTCAAATTTCTTGGCATATAATTGTTCACAGTAATTTCTTCCAATCCTTTGTATAGTTGTGGTAGCAGTTGTTATTTCTCCTCTTTCATTTCTGATATTATTTATTTGGGTCTTCCTCCCTTTTTTCTTGACGAGTCAGCTTAAAGTCTTTTCGATTTTATTTCTCTTTTCAAATAATCTGCTCCTGGATTGGCTGATGCTTTGAATTGTTCTTTTAGTCTCTATGTCTTTCAATTCTGCTCTGATCTTTTTTCCTTCCTCTACTCTCTCTGGACTTTGTTTGTTATTATTTCTCCAGTTCTTGAAGCTGTCGGGTTAGGTCATTTGTTTGAAATGTTTCTATCTTTTTTAGGTAGGCTGTATTGGTATGAACTTCCCTCTCAGGATTGCCTTCACTGTGTCCCATAGGTTTTGGAATGTCGTGTGTTCATTTTCATTTGTTTTCAGAAACTTTTTTATTTCTTCTCTGATCTCATTATTGACCCATTCATGGTTTAATAGCATGCTATTCAGTCTCCATGAGTTTCAATGTTTTTGAGTTTTTTCCTTGATGTTGGTTTCCATTTTCAAGCCACTGTGGTCTGAGAAAATGCTTGTTGTATCAATATTCCTGAATTTGTTGAGGCTTGTTTTGTGTCCTTTCATGTCGTCTGTCTTTGAAAATGTTCCATGTGCATTTGAAAAGAATGTGCGTTTTGCTCCTTTGGGAAGAAAAGTTCTATATATGTCAGTTAAGTATATTTGATCTAATGCATCGTTCAGTACCACAATATCCTTGCTGATTTTTGGTTTAGAAGATCTATCCATCGTTGACAGAGGAGTGTTCAAATCCCCTAGTATCAGTTTGTTGCTCTCTATATCTTTCTTGAAGTCCTCCAAGATTTTCCTTATATATTTGGGTGCTCCTATGTTGGGTACATATAGGTTTACAATGCTTATGTCGTTCTGATGGATGCTTCCTTTGAGTATTGTGAAATGTCCTTCTGGGTCTCTTTTTAATGGCCTTTGTTTTACAATCTGTTTTGTCTGATATAAGTATTGCTACCCCGGATTTTTTTTTTTTTTCCTGTCCATTTGCTTGGAATATTTTTTTCCATTCCTCTACTTTCAGTCTTTGTAGGTCCTTTTTTCTAAAGTGGGTCTCTTGTAGGCAGCGTATGTGTAGGTCATGTTTTGATATCCATTCAGCTACCCTATGACCTTTGATTGGAGTATTTCACCCATTTATATTTAAAGTTATAATTGATAGATACTTATTCATTTTTTCCCTTTGTACCTGTGTTCCTCTCTTTCTCACTCTTTTTCTTAAACCAGTCCCTTTAGCATATCTTGCAGTGCTGGTTTGGTGGAGGTGCATTCTTTTAGCCTTCTTTTGTCTGGGAAACCCCTTATTTCACCTTCCATTTTAATTGGGAGCCTTGCTGGATAGAGCAGTATTGGTTGCAGGCCTTTGTTTTTCATGACTTGGAAAATGTCGTCCCACTCCCTTCTGGCTTGTGGTGTTTCTGTTGAGAAGTCAGCTGCAAGCCGTATCAGGGCTCCCTTGTATGTTACTACATGTTTCTCCCCTGCTGCCTTTAGGATTCTCTTTTTGTCTGTGATATTTGCCATTTTAATGATGATATGTCTTGAAGTTGGCCTCATTGGGTTCCTCTTGACTGGGACCCTCTGTACTTCCTGGACTTGTGTGACTTTTTCTCTCCTCCAAATAGAGAAGTTTTCCTCATGACTTTTTCAAACAGGTACTCTATCCCTTCCTCATCCTCTTCTCCTTCTGGTATCCCTATTATATGGATATTATTATGTTTCAGATTGTCCTGCATTTCCCTAAATGCCTCTTCATTTCTTTTTGAGTCTTTTTTCATTTTCTTGCTCTTCCTGGGAGCTTCTACTTTGTCCTCTGGTTCACTGATTCAACCTTCTGCTTCATCTCGTCTGCTTTTGATTCCTTCTACCGTGTTCTTCAATTCAGAAATTGTATTCTTCATTTCCTCTTGCCTCTTGCTGTTAGTTTCTATGTCCTTTTTCATGCTGATATAGTTTGCAGGAAGTTCCTCGCAGTTTCCCTGTAGGTTTTTGTAATTCTCTCTGAGCTCACTGAGTTCATTGAGATTCCTTAGAACCGTTGTTTGGAACTCAGTATCTGATAGTTAATTTGCCTCTATTTCATTTAGTTCTCTTTGTGGGGATTCCTCCTTTCCCTTCATTAGTGGGGTGTTTCATTTTCTTCCCATTATTTGAGAGACTCTTCGTTTTTGTTTCTTCTTCTTCAATTGATCTGTCTTGATCTCCTGACTTTGTGGTGTGTACTTCTATGGTAGGAGACTGCTTTTTTTTTTCTTTCTGGACCTGCCTCTGATGTTATCAGCTGTTGACCCCATCTGACCTTAGGCAGTCTGTATGAGACTTCCAGGAATCTATTGTCTGTGTCTGTCTCCTCCAGTTGTTAATCTAGTGACTCTGACTTCAGCAGTCAGGCTTAGGCACCACAGGGCAGGCCATTGTCCCTTCTGGGTGCAAGGCTGTTGTGTCCTTTCATCCTGATGCTGCTTAGGGAGTGGTCTGCCTGATAGAGAGGGCTGCTGCCATATAGGGAAGGAGTCAGCACCAGGATCCCCCCCGGCTACTTGCTCAGTTCTCCCCCCAACGCCTACATGTCCAGACTCTCAAGCATCTCTATACCACTCTGCTTCCCCTTTAGCCAGGGATCTACTATCTGTGACTACTGCTCTGTACTCAGCACTCTGTCCTGCACAACACTGGGCAGAACACAGCCTCCTGAGGGTGGGGCTTTTATGTTCCTTCATGCTGCTGCAACTCAGGGAAGCAGTTTGCCTGAGCAAGATGGAAGCTGCTGAACAGGGTGAGACAGCACTGGGACCCCGCCAGCCACTTTCTCAGTTGTTTCTCCAAAGTCTTTTCCTCAGTCTCTCCTCAGGCGGCTCCATCCCACTATGCCCCCAGCTTTGCTGGAGACCAGGGTAAGTGGCTGCCACTACAAATTTTTGCGTTGGCCCTTTAAACAGCTCTTTGTGCTCCAGCTGCCTGTCTCTGGAAGAAAGCACCCCCACGCTTTTCACAGCTGGTTGTTGTCTGTTTGCTTTTTGGGCTCTGGTGCTTTAGGCTGGAGATCTCCACCTATGGTTTAGAACCTGCTCTTCTCAGGGGAATCCAACTGGCCATTTCAATATCCCTCTGGGGCTGCCGCCCATGGGCACCCAATCCATCTTCTCGAGTCTCTACCATACTCCTTACCAGTTATGTTGTGCTAAAGCCAATTCCTCTGTCTGTCCAAGGTTTTAAGTCTCCTCTCTTACTATTGTTCCATTGTTTTCCAGGTGATTTCTCCACAATTTAGTAGCAATTCCGATTTGATTCTGCGAGGAGGTCCATGTGACTTCCACTCATTCCTCTGCCGTCTTGAAGTCGCTTGGTATTGATTATTACACCACCAAATATTGCAGGTTTCACCACAGTTGAGGAACTGGAAAACTGTCTTCTTACCCACTCACTCAGTTTCTCACTCAGGAGATGATGTTGATAGTGCTGCTATAGCTGTCACCATCATCATTACCTGCTTACTATGTGCTAGGTATTACGTTAAGAGCGTGTGACAGTCAGCTAGTTAACTATCTCAATATATATACTCCACTTTCTATAACAAAAGATGATGAAATTTGGACATTGCTGCATCTTTTCTGGACATGGTCTGTATTTTTTCCACTTCTCCAGGAACATGAACATGAGTTCTCACTACCATGTGAACCTCTGGACCACCCCAAAACTCCTCAAGACTTTTTGAAGTGTAGAATTAAGTACTTCAATCTACTAGATACACTTTCAGGTAACAATCATTCCATTTCAAAAGTGTGGGAGTGTGCATGTGTGAATTCTCTTATTCATGTCCAAAACAGCATAGGTAGGAAATTTTAAAATGAAGTCTACAGTTAAGGAACATTTACAAGAAAAAACAGTAACACCCAAATTACAGGGAAGAAAAAGATTACCTTCATTGTAAGGGAACTATTCCAAGACTTTACAAGTTCAATAGCTCTTAGATCTTGCCAACTAATGAAGTTGTGAAAATGATTCCCCGTTTTCCTAAGAAAAATGGAAACAACATTTTGACACTCATATAAATCAAACACAATATTATATAAAATATCTGCCACAAGAGAAAAGAAAATTAGAGGCCAAACTACATTCAAAGTATGATTTAATTATATGTGGCTTTCCAAATTACTTTCTTCTCTTTGATTTATAAATTGAAAATAATTTATAACAAATATTATATGATATGGAATATGAAATTTTAATCAGGTAGATCAAAAAAGATATTCTCTTCGAAGCACTACAATGTGTACATTTCAAAGAAAATAATGAAAAAACCTTTAACAACTTGCTTATATACTTCTAGAAGCAAGATGGGGAAGCCATTGCCTTCATTGTACTTATCTTGTACAATCAGATAAAAACCTCTGTACCTACAGAAAAGCTGAAATACTGCCTGAGTCAATTTCTACAACTGTTAACTTTAGGACTGGGTTAGCCACTGGCAACCTACCAGGCTTACCAAAATTTGTCTAATAAAAAGAAATTCAACTCTCAGTCAACACTAAAATAAAAGTACAGAACTATGAACTATAGTATAAATGTCATTTTTCCTTTGAGACTCCTACAAATCAACCACTGACAACCTATCTATTCATTTTCAACATCCAACTCAGGCTTGCTTTTCACCCTATCTCCTGTGTGAATTTAACCATGTTCAATTCTTGAGACTGTCATTTCCCACTCTTATTAAGCAGTACACAGCCATGGCCACATCCTCAATTTTATTAATGGAAACACTCTATTACTGAAATTCTAGCATCACAATAGATTAGGCAACACATCTCACTAGTAGAGTCTTGCCCACTTAGCAACAGGAACATATTCTGAGAAATGCATCATTAGGTGATTTCATTGTTCTGTGAACATCACAGATTACACTTACACAAACCTAAATGGTCTAGCCTACTACAGACTTAGGCTCCAGGCCTGTACCACAAGGAACAAGCCTGTGCTGTAAGCATGTTACTGTATAAAACAACATAAAAATAAATCACACACAAAAGAAAATGATGCAATCAAGAGACACAATAAACAGGACACTTTGAAACTAGCCAGGGAGACTTCCGGCCAAGATGGAGGCATAGGTAGATACACTTTGCCTCCTTGCACGACCAAAAAAAGGAAAACAACAAATTTTAAAACAAAAAAAAAAAACCAGAACTGCCACAAAATTGAACTGTATGGAAGTCCAGCAACCCACGAGCTAAAGAAGAAACATTCATCGAGACCAGTAGGAGGGGTGGAGGCAGGCCGCTGTGGAGTGTCAAGGCAGTGGCTGGCAGACTGGACAGTCCCACATTTGCATGTAGATAAACTGGGAGGAACAGCTGGGGATCAAGAGAGACCACGCACCCCACAGTTCCAGAGCAGGAAAAGAAAGCCTCAAAACCTCTGGAGGTAAAAATATGCGGGGATTGCTGTGGCAGGAGAAACTCCAGTCTCACATGAGAGTCCATTGGAGAGACCCACGGAGTCCTAGAATGTACAGAAGCCCACCGACCTGGAAATCAGCACCAAAAAGACCCAATTTGCTCGTGGGTAGCAGGGGAAGTGACTCAAAGTCAGCCAAAAGCTGAGCAAGAGGCACTGTTCTCTCTCCAAACCCTCCCCCACACACAGCATCACAACACACCGACCTGGGTAGTCACCCTAGCGAATACCTAAGGCTCTGCCCCTCCCAATGTACAGGCACTGCCGAGACAAAGAAATATGGCCCAAATGAAATAACATATTAAAGCTCCAAAAACAGAACTAAGCAATGAACAGATAGCCAACCTATCAGATACACAGTTCACAACACTGGTAATCTGGATGCTCACTGAATTGGTTGAGTATGGTCCCAAAATGGAGCAAAAGTGAAGGCTATGCCAAGTGAAACATAGAAAAATATACAGGGAACCAACAGTAAAGAGAAGGAAACTGGGACTGAAGTCAATGATTGGGAGCAGAAGGAAGAAACAAACATTCAACCAGAACAGAATGAAGAAACAAGAATTCAAAACAAATGAGGAGAGGCTTAGGAACCTCTGGGACAACTTGAAATGTTCCGACATCTGAATCATAGGGGTGCCAGAAGAAGAGGAAGAGCAAGAAATGGAAAACTTATTAGAAAAAATAATGAAAGAAAACCTCCCCAATCTGGCCAAGGAAATAGACTTCTAGGAGATCCAGGAAGCTCAGAGAGTCCCAAAGAAGTTGGACCCAAGGAAGCACACACCAAGGCACATAATTACATTACCGAAGATTAAAGATAAGGGGAGAATCTTAAAAGCAGCAAGAGAAAAGGAGACAGGTCCCTACAAAGGAGTTCCCATAAGACTATTAGCTGGTTTTTCAAAAGAAACCCTGCAGGCAAGAAGGGGCTGGCACGAAGTATTCAAAGTCATGAAAGGCAAGAACCTATATCCAAGATTACTCTATCCCGCAAAGCTATCATTTAGAATGGAAGGGCAGATGAAGTGCTTCCTGGATAAGGTCAAGTTAAAGGAGTTCATCATCACCAAGCTCTTATTATGTGAAATGTTAAAGGGACATCTAAGAAAAAGAAAATCAAAAACTATGAACAGTGAAATGACAACAAACACAACTATCTACAACTGAACCTAAAACAAAACAAAAAAAAAAACTAAGCAAACAAGTAGAACAGGAACAGAATCATAGAAATGCAGATCAGAGGGGAGGAGGAGGGGAAAGAATAGGGGGAAAGGTACAGGGAATAAGCAACATAGATAGTACATACAACATAGGCAAGGGGAGGTTAAGAATAGTATAGGAAATGGAGAAGCCAAAGAACTTATATGTATGACCCATGGTCATGAACTAAAGGGTGGAGGAGTCCTGGAGGGCAGGGTGGTGTTGGGTGGAAGGGAATAAAGGAGAGAAAAAAATGGGACAACTGTAATAGTATAATCAATAAAATATATATTAAAAGATAAATGTGAAAAAAGAGACATGGTAAATAAAAGATATATGAGGCTGCTGCAGGCTAACACCACACACTGCTCAAAGCAAACTTATTTTTACAAGTAGAAAGAGTACACTCTAAAAATGATTTTTAAAAAGTATAACATAGTAAATACATAAGCCAGAAAAAGTCATTTATTATCATTATCAAGCATTATGTAGTACACATAATTGTATGTGCTATAAGTTTATGTGACTGGCAGTGCAGTAGGCTTGTTTACACTAGCATCACCACAAACACATGAGTAATGCACTGTGCTAAGATACTATGATTTCTACTACCTCACTAGGTAATAAAAATTTTTCAGCTCCTTTATAATCTATCAGACCACCATTGTATATACGGTCTATTGTTGACCAAACATGGTTATGTGGTACATTACTGTATTTCAGTTCTCTCCATTTTACTCCCTAAATATCTTCCCTTCAACACACTGCAACCTTTCATCCCTCAAACATTCCTTTTCTTCCTAACCAATAGGTGCTAGGCTTACTTATTTTCCTGACTTCCATGGTCTATCATTATTATTAAGAACCTGCCTCTTTTTTTTTTTTTTTTGTAATTGTGGTAAGATATTCATAACATGAAATGTACAATTTTAACCATTTTTCAGTGCAAAATTTAATGACATTAACTACATTTCACAATGTTGCATAACCACCACCAGTTTCCAAACACTTTGGTTGTTCCCACCTTCTTGCTATTGTGAATAATGACACTATAAACATTGCTGTACAAGTATCTGTTTTCAATTCCTTTGGATATATGCTTAGAACTGCTGGGTTATACTTGTATGGTAATTCTATGTTTAGTTTTTGAAGAACTGCCAAACTGATTTCCACAGTGGCTATGCCATTTTATATTCCCATAACCAACATACAAGAGTTCCAATTTTCCACATCCTTGCCAACATTTCTTATTTTCCATTTTTTAAGTTATAGCCATTATAGTGGGTATAAAGTGATATCTCATTGTGGTATTGATTTGTATTTCCCCAAAGACTGATATTGAGCAATTTTTCGTATTTTATAGACTATTTGTATGTTATTCAAGTCTTTTGTCCATTTATGAATTGTATCATTTGTTGAGTTGTATGAGTTCCTTCGTATATTCTAGGTATTAATTCTTTTCATTTTCTCAATTGTTTCCTTTTTGTTTTGTTGTTCACCTTTATTAATGTAAATCACATCATTCACTTACATCATGAATATGTTATTTCCTTTTCCTTTAGTGATACAGTCACCATTATCATTAGTACAATTCAGAGAAGTGAATCTATTGTTTTAGTCTTCAATCTTAGATAAAAATTACAAACCAAACATACCAAGACACACACCTTACATGCTGCAATGGTTTTCAGAAATCTAACTGCAGATTTGAGATATCAATGACTCTACATTTTCTCAACATTTTAATTTTTTCCAGACACATTTTTTAAATGCAAATTGCACACTATGTCAAAATAATTTCAACATGGCTTTATTTCTTATTATTTATTATTAAATCTAGGGCAAATTTTCTATGTGAGGTTCTAATATAGAAAAAAATTTTAAATAGCCATCATTAATAGATGACAACATCTCAATTACATTCTTCGATGCAAAAAAGGTTTTAATTTTGATGAAGTCCAATTAATCTATTTTTTTTATAGGCTGTGCTTCGAATTCCGCTAAAGAAATCATTGTTAAGTCCATGATCACAAAGACATTCCTCTTTGCTTTCTTCTAAAAGTTTAATAGTGTTGTTTTTTAAATTTATTCTTTGATCCACTATTTGGAATAATTTTTGTATATGGTCCCACTTCATTTTTTAGCATGTAGATATTCAGTTTTCTGAGCACCATTTATTGAAACGGCTGTTCTTTCCCCAGTGCCTCATCTTGGCAACCTTGCCAAAAATCAATTGTATTAGTTTCTTTGGGCTGCCATAACAAAATTTCACAAACAGAATGGTTTAAAACAATAGCAATTTGCCTCCAACAGTTCTGGAGGCTAGAAGTCCACATTCAAGGTGTTGAAAGAGC